CATCCTTTCGGCTTTGGCCCAACCACTTCATCAGCTCTGGAGCTACTTGTACTTGTCCTCCGCTCTTCCTCAGTAGCATGTTGGACACCTTCTGACCTGAGGGCTCATCTTCCAGCATCGTATCTTTTAGCCTTTTGTTTCTGTCCTTGGAATTTTCTTGGCAAAGATACTGGAGTGGCTCGCCAGTTCCTGCTCCAGTTGGATCACATTTAGTCAGAACTCTCCATTATAACCTGTCCATCTTGGATGGCCCTGAATGGCATAGCCCATAGCTTCTCTGAATTACTCAAGCGCCTTAGCCACGACAAGGCAACAGTCCATGAAGGGGAGAATTAGAAATAGGGAGGGTTTAAAAGAATATTCAGAGGAAGCCAATTTTATAGAAATTAGAATAAATTCAATCTGGGCTTTTAAATAGTGGAGTTTTTCTTGTTCCAATTGACTTTTCTTAATTTCACCCACGGGAATGTTTTAATATCTTGAATTAGACTATTATATCCTTATTGTTTTTATGTGCTGTCAAGTCACCTTCGATTTTTGGTGACCCCATGATTACGTGATCTCCAAAATGCCCTGTCCTCAACTGCCCTGCCCAGCTCTTGGAAACTCAAATCTCGGGCTTCCTTTAGGGGAGTCAATCCATCTCATTTTGGGTCTTCCTCTTCTCCTTCAAAATTTCCCAGCATTATTGTCTTTTTCAGAGAATGATGTCTTCTCATGATGTGCTTAAAGTAGGGCAACCTCAGGCTCAACATTTTTGCCTCCAGAAATAGTTCAGGTTTAATTTGATCTAGGACCCACTTGTTTGTCTTTGCAGTAGTCCAGGGTATCTTCAAATCTCTCTTTCAGCATCACATTTCCTTAAATCATGGTATATGGTCCCACATATGTCATTATTTGTGTGAGATCATAGGAAACCTCTTCACACCAAAACAGATTGCCGATTCATCTATAGCAGCTCCCCAGGATTTCAATCTGAATTATTACTACTACTTATGAATGGAAAGTGTGTAGGTTCTATGTGTTGATCTAATAAAGGACCTTTCTCTCTAGCTTAAAGTTAAAGTAAATATGTTATATCATCGAAATTGTACAGTGTACAGGTTGCTTAGCCAGTTTGGTACATGCTAAGAAGATAGCTCTAAGAAAGAGGCTGGAAGTGAATTCTTCTGTCCTTCCACAAGCAGGCAAAGACCTTTCTCTTCAATGAGTAACTATCCAGAAAACAATAAACAGGATGGTTTTTATTTTGCTGCTTCTAAATCTGTTTTCATAATCCTTTTACCTAACATTTTAAATATAATATTGTCATGTTCCCACGTGGCCCCTGCTTGTTTCATCAAACTAAGAGCTCATGCTACGTGTCTTTCAGCTGCCGCCAGTTGATTACATCAACACTGTTGATTATTAATCACAGAGGTCCAGGCAATGTGTCATTTTAAAAGAACCAAATAGAAATTGTTTATTGTTACAGATGTTGACAGAACAAGCAATGTTGTTAACTCTTAAACAAACATCTTCCTTCATCCACTTTCAACCACTCCGCCCTCGCCCAATGTCCAAAACTACACCAAACTCCTAAACTTCCTCAGCTCTCCAACTCTCAATCTCCTCAACTCCTCAACTAACTCTCCCTTCCTCCTACTGAGTCGCTTATATCTCATGACTCCGCCCCTCCAGCACTCCCATTGATCTATGCAGATATTACATCAATATTCATGACCTGGGCATACACCCAAATATTACTAATGCTTTTTTAGTATTTGAATAATTGACTGTTCTTAGCTTTGAATACTGTGTCTTTACATGATGTAAACTGCCTTGGGTGCTTTTGGAAAAGGCAGGGTAAAAATATTTAAAATAAATGAATGAATAAATAAATAGTTGGAAAATACAGTTATGTGGAAAAGAAAGTACACCCTCTTTGAATTCTATGGTTTCATGTATCAGCACATAATAAAAATAATGTTTCTCAATAGGTCTGAAAATTAGGTAAATATAACCTCAGATGAGCAACAACTCATGACATAACTGTGAAGATTCTCAGTCATCTAGGTGAGGTTGTCTGGAAGTTGAGTTATGGCAACTGGATGTAGTTCTTATTAGGTTGAAACGTTTTGCTACTCATCCAAGTAGCTGAGGAGAGTGGGTAGGAGACCCCTGATCTATCCTCCAATTTTGATCTCAAAATTTGGTCTGCACAATTTGAAAGGAATGTAAAGGTGAGTATGCAAATATTTGGGAGCTGTATAGCAATTGAGAAAAAACCTTGCCCATAAAGACTTGAACTTCTGAGGGGATGTGTCGTCCACTTTTAGAGAAGAAGAATCTAATTAGAGCTGCTGTACTTTTCTGAGCATTCAGTAACAAATGTTTTAGTTGTGAAGCCCAGGGGCCTGTGGAGCTAAATAATATGCCCAGATATTTATAGCACAAGACCTGTTCTATAGGGTGATTATTTATTGCCCATTTATGTTTTATTCTCCTTCTACTGGTTAAAAGTATTTTGGTCTTCGTATAGTTTATAACCAATTGTTCCTGGTTACTGTAAGAGAAGGCGGCCTTCAAAAACCTTCTAAGACCAAAACAGGTTAGAGAGTAATACTGCATCATCAGCATATAGTAACATGGATAGGGGGTGTGAGAATAATTTAGGGGGATGGAAATCAGTTTTTGATAAATTATCCACAATGCCATTTATATAGAAGTTGAACAAAGTGGGGGCTAGAATACAGCCCTGTTTTACCCTATTATACATTGAGATTGAGTTGGATAATGCTCCTGTTGAATTATAAAGGACTCGCAAGCTGGTGTTTTTGTAGAGGCGTTGAACTAACATAAGGAGCATCTTAAGCCTGGTGCAAAAGGTACATCAAATTACAATTTTTGGATGATTACTTCCAGAATTCCACCAGTTAAACCATGACACCTGAAGGATTTCTGGGAGTTGTAGTGCAACAAAGTAATTTCCCCAAATTCTACTTGGCATTAAAGAATTCTGAGTCCAGAGAGTTGCTCTGAGTACTAGAATTTAATGGAACTCAAGGTCCAACTCTGGTTTCCCCATTATTTCTTCATTTCAGCAGTATGAAAAAGAGGTTTTATTATGGCTTTTAAAAAGCAATTATCAATCAGTAAACCTGAAAGCTCCAGAGGCTGAACCTCAAAATGACCTTTTGCATACAAATCCATGAGCCCTTTCAACTGAGTTGCAGTCCGTATTTTTCCGTGTATAAAATGACACTTTTACCTAAATAATTAGACAAAAAATTGAGGGTCGTTTTATACATGGAAGGCAGCCACTTTCCCTGACTTTTGCGAAGCCACAAGGTAAAGCAGCCATGAAAGGACTTCAGGATGAAAGGGGTGTGACTTTGCCACCCTTTAATGGCTGCGTTACCCATTTCCTAAGCCCCATGGGGCTTAGGATTTGGATAAAGCAGCTGTGAAAGGGCAGCAGGATCGCACCCCTTTGATCCTGAAGCAGCCATGAAAGGGCTTCAGGACCAAAGGGGTGCAATTGTGCAAATTTTCTAATTCGGGGGTTAGAAAAGGGGGGGTTGTCATCTTATATGCTTTGTTTTGCTTTTATACATTGGGTAGTCTTATAAACAGAAAAACATGGTATATACTAAACTGTCTCCTTTTTTTGTCATCTTATACTTTGCTTTGTTTTGCTTTTGTACATTGGGTAGTGTTATAAACGGAAAACATGGTATATACTAAACTGTCTCCTTTTTCTTCGTTTTAGGATAAGAAAAGCAGACAGCAACATATTCTGCACTAAGACAGCACTATGGCCACCACAGAGATAGCTGCAATGGACAAAGATAGAAACATTTCATTCCTCCATTTCCAGGCTGCAGATTGCCACGTAGATTCAGAGTTCAGATATACTTTGTTCACTGTCTACTATAGTATCATCTTCATTCTGGGCTTCATAGCTAACATTTACGTGCTGTGGCTTTTCACTCGGGTTTACGCCACCAAGAAACTGAATGAAATAAAAATATTCATGGTCAACTTGACAACAGCTGACCTGCTCTTTCTGGTCACATTGCCCATGTGGATAGTGTATTACCACAACAGAGGGAACTGGATCATGCCCAGCTTTTTATGTAACGTGGCTGGCTACTTATTCTTTGTGAACACATATTGTTCAGTGGCCTTCCTGGGAGTCATAACATACAACCGGTTCCAGGCTGTCACAAGGCCTATTTCTACTGCCCAATCCAGCACAAGAAGAAGGGGCCTCTATGTCACTGTAGCCATCTGGGTCCTGATAGCTGGCCCATCCACATACTTCTTGTTTGATGATGGCATAACCGAAGAAGGGCCTTACACACGCTGTTTTGAGCGCTATGACACCAAAAAAGACAATACTCCTGTTTTTGTCATTCATGTGATCATTTGCATTTGCTTCTTTCTTACTTTTGGGATTGTACTGGTATGCAATGCCTTTATTATCCGGACACTGGTCTCCCAGCCGGTGCAAACTCGGAACAAGGACGTCAGGCAACGGGCACTCTGGCTGGTGTGCACAGTTTTGACCGTCTTTATTCTGTGCTTTGTGCCTCACCACATTCTGGACCTACCATGGACCCTGATGGTTTTGGATAGGTGGAAGATAAGCTGTGAGGCCAAAAACACAGTGAATGATTTCCATCAAGCCACCCTCTTCCTTCTGGGTGCCAACTGTGTTCTGGATCCTGTCATTTACTGTTTCCTCACCAAAAAGTTCAGGAAACACCTTTCAGAGAATTTGAAAAACATCAAAGACAGCCGCAAGTGTTCCAGGCAGACAACTGAGACGGGCGTGGAAGGTATGGTACCTCTGCAAGAATGCCTCCACACCACCCTGAAGTGTTAGATGTTGTGCTGCAGCCTAAGGAGCAGGAGGTTTTACCTTGTGCTGAGTCTGTACTCAAATGGAGGCTGGGGACAGGCAAGAACTCTTTGCCTTTATCACAAGTTTGGCATGTTAATTCAAGTTTCTAGCATTTTTCAAGCTACAGTGGTAGGAAGTGGAATGTTTAAGACTGTTCTAATGTCCTATCTGAAAAAGAAAATGGAGTATCACAGAAAAATTGAATGTTGTTATGGCTGTGAAAGGAGATTATTTGGAATTTCCTGTGCTGCCTTTTTTTTTAAGGACATTTGTATTGTCTTCTGGTCTAGAAGTTAATTACAGTATTACAGCTTTGGCACTTAGTTCCACCCCTTTGTCCTTTAGCTGGTTCAGAACTCTTGGATCGAGGCAGGTGTCAGATGTAGATGCCCTTGGAGATCTATTAAAGATCACATGTCATCTGTCAGACAGACTGAGCAAAGATTAAAAGATTAAGAAGCAAGCTCCATTCATCTCACCAGGGGGATGGCTATTGAATTTGAGTGTAAAGGAAGAGGACAATCAACTGGCGATAATGACAGCCCAGTGGAGGTGGGTCTGAGCAAGGTGGAGGCTCTGTGGAGAGCGTTTTGAAAGCTTTCTCCTACAAAACATGCCTTGTCTTAGATTAGTACTATTTAGCTGTGCTTTTAAGTTTTTTCAGAAGGTATGGACTTTAAAGATAGTAGGGGACATGGCAATATTAATTGGCCATAGAGAATAATCACAAATTTCTGTCACTTGAGAGTTTGCATTGCTTTTACAGAAATTGGGCATGTCAGAACTGCCTCAGACTCTAGCAGAAAACTGCTTGCTTGTTTTTTTGTGACTAAAAATCTCAGCTTTGGGACCTTTGTAACTCCTCAGGACTGCTAGCTTTAAGTCCAATGGAAATTTCTGTAGATGTTTTGGTATGAAGATTAAGTGGGATATTTATAAGATCACATTAGATTTAAAGTTGTGCAGGATCCCCAATGTTGAGGATTCTAGATGTTGAGAAAAAGAATGCCAGCTTCTACACCAGGTTTACCAAGAATCCTGGAAAAAAATGATGGGCAAACCAGGCATATGAATGCTGGCTAGTATAAATCTGGCATGGAGAAGAACTATATTTCAGCTTTTAGGTCCTCCACACAGGACAAATCTTCACATTCTTTCCTACTGCTAGATCTATGGAATATGAGTGCTGCAATTGGCACCCTAATGTCCTCATAGGACAAAACACCTGTGTGAAATTTAAGGGCAGAGGTGAGGAACACATAGCTATCCAGATACTGCTGGACTGCAACTCCATCAACCCTAGCCCTAAAGAAGGGAGTGAAATCCCAGCTGCCTAAATACTGTATTCCTCACCCCTGTTAAAATGTGTTCATTTTGAAAGACAGAGTCTTTTGTTTCACCTCCCACTTCCTCTGCCTGTCACTTTGGGAGCATGCTGCTGTAGGAAGCAGTTTCAAAAACTCCAAATATTTAATTATAATAAATAATTATGGTTCAGTTCAATTTAGTATTATTCAATGGAAAGGTGTGGTCCACCAATGGAGGAGAAAAGGAGACACAAATGAGAGACAGCCAAATATAGCTGCTACAACTTTTCACAGATGGAAACCGGCATGCCTGCGACATCCCTATGAGCATATTGAGGGCTACTGCTGAAATGACCCCTCCAGGCTCCATCCTGTCTACTATTTGTCCACTATACCATAACCTTGTTTCCCCCTTCCCCAGCACAATGACTTTAAAACCTAAGGGAATGGCTTTTCTTGAGGTAAGGTATGAAATCAATAATTCCTAATGCAGCTCAGCAGTGGTAGCATGTAGTGACAACAGGTTATTAAATAAATACTGTCAATACCTTTCAGTTTAAAGCAGTGGTTCCCAGATATTCCTGAATTAAAATTCCCAGAGGCCTTCACCCTGTGCTGGCCAGGATTTCAGGGAGTTGCAGTCCAAGAACATCTGGGGACCCCAGTTTGAGAACCACTGCTTTAAAAGGAATCACCTCAAGTACCTCAGTCTCCATATGTACACATTTGTTTACACTTTTGCATGAGGCATCATTCTTTTCCTGAAAAGAACTGAAAAGAGCTGAGATGTGAAGAACAGCAAATACACAGAACAGCTAAAGAAACCAAAAGTACTACAGAAGCAAGAAAATATGGACAAACTGGTGAATGTGCAGATGATTCAGTCCTGAGACTGTGATCCTAATAGAACTTTCCTTCCTACAGCATTATTCCTTTGGCCTTTTGTGTATGTTTTTTTTAAAGAGCACATTGTACTCCCTGCTTTATTGTATGATGTTTTCAAGTGATCTCAGAAATTTTTATTAAATCAATAAAACAGCTTAGATTCAAACCAACTATGGGGGAAGGGAAGGGCATGAGGATCCAAGAACTGAACAGGGGATGGTGCAGATGAGAGAAGCAACATTAAAAGAAGCTCGCAGAATGGAAAAACATGAGATGTGCTATTGCTCAGGCAAAAACATCTGACTCTCTCAACCAGGGGCTTAATATAGCTGATACAAGATGTGAAAGTGCTTCTGGGGCAACAATGTTCAAGGAAGCTGTGATTGTTATTTTGGCCGCAGGAAACCAGTGCTTGAAATCCTCATCTAAACTTTTGTTGTTCAGAAGTTCCAGGCTTGGTTTAAGTGTTCCATATGGTAGAAATGATTTCCACCCCAAAAACTGAAATGGAAACCCAGCAATTTAAGGTTTTCTATTATTTTCACAACAAGAGCTGGAAATAGTTCTGCATATGCTCCTGAGTAACTTGTTTTGATTTTTCAATTAGAAATATATATATATATCTGCATTATTGTAGAAGAAACATTATAATTTTTATATTTATTAAGAGTGTATTAGCAGTTCCATTCTGATCAAATGAAACTCCTGGAGATGATGCATTACCTTTAGGGTATTCATCAAGTTCAAATAGGTCTGCAACCCTATTTTACTTGAAATCAGCAGGACTAGTTTTCAAGCATGTGTGGATTTACTTGGGAAGCAATTAATTTAGCAGGAACTAGACTCAGTTTAATTCAGTAACCACAAATACTGTATAGATTTGTAAAGCCCTTTCCTGTCTACACATTGCCTTTTTGTTTCCAGGCCTGGATGGTTATCGTTAAGGCTACAGTTCTACACAAGTTTAGACAGGCACCAGAAGAATTTAAATATACCGCAGCTTCTGGATTAGGATTCTCAGCAATTTTGCAGCAAACTGAAGTAAGGAGAATGCAGTCTTTCCTCATGTCAGTAATGGCAACTGATAACTTTAAAAGCATACTGAGCAAATCAATAGGATTCTTGATTGATTAGATGCTATAGTTGCTACTACCCAATAGAATAGATTAACCTCCATATTCAGTAGGAGTATGCAACAAAGATAAGTTGCTGGAGTCAAACCACAAGATACTGTATTGACTTCATGACCTGTTTCTTGACTTCCTGGAGGTTTTATGTGGGCTGCTGTGGGAAGCAGGATGTACTTTTGGCTGTACAATTCAGCTCTTATATATTTATATATTTATTTGGTTGAATATCAGGAAAAACTTCCTAACTGTTAGAGCGGTACAACAGTGGAACCAATTACCTTGAGAGGTGGTGAGTGCTCCAACGCTGGAGGCCTTCAAGAGAAAAGTAGACAACCACCTGGCAGATATCCTTTGATTTGTATTCCTGCATCAAGCAGGGCTTTGGACTTGATGGCCTTATAGGCCCCTTCCAACTTCAGTATTCTATGATTCACACAATTATCAAAAAATTCTGTGTGAGCCAATTTTCCATGTTTACAAAATGAAGTTTCAAACAATTTATCTTTAATTTTGTTTATCTTAAAGCAGCTTAGCAACTGAAGAATTCTTTCTAGAGAAACTCTGTCACTTCTCTAACTTTTATATTACAGTATGTTCATTGTATTGTATATCAAATATTAGTAATTATGAACCAAACGTTGTGGTTATAGGTATCCTACAGCATATGAAGGCTACATACAAGTGTCTCAACACCATAACCATGTCCAAGGAGGAACAAGCCACAAGGTCATAGTTTTTGGCCATGCACCTAGGTCTCCAGTGCTGTTTTTTTGTGCTAGAGTTCTTAATTGCTACTGTAATGTGCTTGACAATGCTAATTGTGTGAAAGGCACGGTAACTAGTAAAGAATTTAAGCCTCTGGAAAAAGGTTTTGTGTTATTAGAATCAATAAACAGAGTTTACCAAAGTATTTTCACTGTGCATCTTACTTATCTAAGAACTTCTGTTTCAGAGAAGATATTTCCAATCCTGGAACTCAGGAGACCTGCATTCAAATTCCCACTCAGCCATGGAAACTCACCGGGGGTAGTGGAACTGGTAAAAGCACCCCTTAAACATCTAACTTCCTTGAAAGCCCTATCAGGGTTACTATAAGTCAATTCCAACTTGAGGGCGTGTAACATATAGAACAGTTTGATATTAATAGCACAATCTTATATGATATTCTCAGAGGCACGTTCAACTACTACGTTCAGTGCAATTTATTTCAAGGTAACTCATATGCATTGATCCACTGTGAATTCACAGCCAGGAAGTCAAATTTCCCAGGGGTGCTTATTTGACAGGAACTGTCACGCCCATGCTGGTCCCTTTGCTTCCTTTTTCCTGACCCTGCCAATTGCCAACACCCATGTGCATGCTTTTTTGCATTGGTACAAGTAATCACACTGTCTAAAAAGGTAAAGGTAAAGGTTCCCCTTGACAATTTTTGTCCAGTCGTGTCCGACTCTAGGGGGCGGCGCTCATCCCGCTCTTCAAGCCATAGAGCCAGCGTTTTGTCCGAGAACAATCTTTCCATGGTCACATGGCCAGTGTGATTTAGACACGGAACGCTGTTTACCTTCCCACTGAGGTGGTCCCTATTTATCTACTCGCATTTGCATGCTTTCGAACTGCTAGGTTGGCGGGAGCTGGGACAAGCGACGGGCGCTCACTCCGTCGCGTGGATTCGATCTTATGACTGCTGGTCTTCTGACCCTGCAGCACAGGCTTCTGCGGTTTAGCCCACAGCTGTAAATGCATTTGCTATCAAAAAGGTGGAAGCACCAGTGGCAGAAGAAAAAAGGGAAAGTCACTAATCCATATTCACCTCTACACCATGTAGAGACAACAGAAAATTCTACAAATTCTGCAGTAATTCCTGTATTATGTCAGTGTAGTTACCCCCTCAGTACAGTTAAAACTCTTGTGTGCCGGCAGATGCTGAACTGTAAAGCCAATAACATTTAAAGATTATTTATTTGCTATACAAACATATCCTTGGCATCTTTATGTAGGGCTAGGAAAGACTTTGATATTAAATCCTGGAGCTGCTCCCAATTTGAGCAGTTCCTCTCTTTCGGTGGGAATAAATAATGGAGTCTTATTATTTCTTTTCAACTCTTTATTAACATTAACTTCAGGGGAGTCCACAACAACTGCAATAGGACCAACTCTCTCTCTCTCTCTCTCTCTCTCTCTCTCTCTCTCTCTCTCTCTCTCTCTCTCTCTCTCTCTCTCTCTCTCTCTCTCTCTCTCTCTCTGTGTGTGTGTGTGTGTGTGTGTGTGTACACCGATTCTGATCAGTAGGCTTTTTCAAAGGAGCATTCCGGACTGCACAAATTGTTCTGCAGCATGGGTGGTGAGCCCAATATCCGTCCAGCTTGCAGTTGGTAGGTATAGGTCCTGGATGAACCACCTTCCTCCAGGGACCTTGTCCGTGTGGGAAGACCACTACTATCCATTCTAAAGGGTCTCGTAGCAATCCTTCAACCTTTGCATCAGTGGATCAGGTAAAAATCCTCTCACTTTTAGGTTAGGAAAGTCAGATAATACCCCTCTACTCTTCACCTTCGGTTCCCTTTGTCCTTTCTCTGTCCCACTGTCCTCTCTCTCTATCGCCTTCTTTACTGGTACTCTAAAGACTCGAGACCCTCTTCCATCTCCTTTCTCTTCCTCTTCCCAAACTGACAACTGTTTTATCTTCTCCATGCATTTTTCCTCTGACATCAGAAAAACCTCTACACCCTTCCCCCCCCCCAACTCCACCTCTCTTTTCTCTTTGACACTCAGATCTTTCATCCCTTTTGTCACACCCACTGTTGTCTCCTCATTTTCTTCTGCCTCAACAGTATGAGGGGACGGCTCACTCACTCCTCTTTCATTTATCTCTATCAACCCTTCACACAAGGGAATTTCCTATGTTCTTGTACTGCCAATGAGTTTCAGTTCTGTGGCTGCTCTGCAGGTTCGATCTGAAAGTCACAAATCTACAAACCAATTTTTACATGTCAGACTGACATAAATTTTGTTTTAATATGAGTTAAGCAATGGTGAGTCCATTGTTCCTCAGCACAACTTGTGAGGATAAAAGCCAACTCTAAATTCCATGGAGAAAGGGCTCAGATGTGACATATAAGAAAGCTACAGTACTAATAAAAATTCAATAAACTCCACGAAACCCTTGAGATAGGCCCAAACCATTCCAGGCTATGTTGATATGGTGTCTAGTTCATGAACAAACCACTTATTAAGGGATAATGTGCAGTGCAGTTCTATGCATGTTTATTCAAATAAGCATTAAATTGTATTTACCCAATATGTGTACTCAGAACTGAAGCAACACAGTAGAAATACAAGCATGCAGAAGCAAAAACAAAGCATGTTATCCCAAAGATGAACAGATTTTAAATGGCAGGAGTTGTCATACACTAAAGCCCATACTGAGTTCCCTAAAACCCTTAGGTAAAAGAAAAGGTAAAGGTTCCCCTTGACATTTAGTCCAGTGGTGTCTTGACTCTAGGAGGCGGTGCTCTTCCCCCTTTCAAAGCCGTAGAGTGAGCGTTCATCTGGTCATGTGGCCAGCGCGACTAGACACAAAACGCCGTTACCTTCCCACTGTGGTGGTACCTATTTATCTACTTGCATTTGCATGCTTTTGAACTACAGTACTAGGTTGGCAGGAGCTGGGACAAGTGACGGGAGTTCACTCCGTTGCATGGATTCGATCTTACGAGTGTTGGTTTTTTGAACTTGCAGCACAGAGGCTTCTGTGGTTTAAACCAGTGGTTCTTAACCTTTGTTACTTGGATGTTTTTGAACTGCAACTCCCAGAAACCCCAGCCAGCACAGTTGGTGGTGAAGGCTTCTGGGAGTTGCAGTCCAAAACTCCTGAGTAACCCAAGGTTAAGAACCAGTGGTTTAAACCACAGCGCCACCACATCCCAATAAAACCTTTGCTATACCTTAAATATCTTTGACCTGTTTTGCCTCAGCAGCCGCATCTCTGGAAGCAAACATTTCCCTGTGAACAGAACTCACTCCCAGTCAGCACACTTTACATCGGGCACATGCACTGCAATGCAAACAAAATTACTCAAAATAAGTTGCTCTGTTTGATAGTAGTATTAAGTTTCCCTGCTTGACATGTACTCAGATAAGTAACCACAGAAACATGGTGGCATGTTAAAGATGGATTTTTATATTAATTAATGTGAGCTTTTGTGGACAAGGTCTGATGACATGCATTTTGAAGTTTTTATCTTAGCGCTATAATTGCACTTAATAAGGAACTTAAGAATCATCAGCAATGAGTTGTTTAACTGTATCACTATTACTTGGTATGGTGTGTTGTATGTTGTGTGGATACTATGAACTCTTGGGTGACGAGGGTGTGGGTGTGTTTTGGTCTGGTCTCTGAGTGTTCTTTGTGAATTTTGTTGTATGTGTATACAGTATATGTTCAATGACAATAAATTGATTTATTATGATGATGGAAGTGGACTTTTCCACGAAAGCTCACATGAAAAAATATAAAAGTTAGCCTTTGAGGTGCCACTACGTTTTTTTCCTACTTTTATTTTTTTCACCTATAACACAAAATACAAATCCATCTCATCGAATGAGATTCATTTCCCAGGAAGCACGATACAATATTTATTTTCTTAGGATGGGAGCCTCAACACGGGCACACCTGCCGTTCACACAACAGCAGGCGACAGCGACATCTAGTGTTGGAGACAGGAATCGCCACCCTCTGCCGTCGACAAGACGGGTTGCTGTTCCAAAACCTCGACGAGGCTGCCGCGCTTACGGGCGGCGCAATGGCGGCTCCTGGAAAGCGGAACCGTAGAAATAGTCTTCGCTCTCAGACAGAAATGATTTCCTCTTCCTTCAATTCACCTCCACAAGCTCAAACTCCGCTCGTGAGTAGCAACCATACATGCCACAGAAACCAGCCAATCAAATCCCACCTCATCCGTTCGTCACTTCCGGAAGCTAACTTCCGCTTCCGGGTGTGAAGGCCAGCTAGGGTTGCCGAGGAGCCTTCTGTTCTGTTCTTTTCCTTTCCTTTCTTCTTTCCTTTCTTTGTCTGTCTTTCCCCCACCCCCGCCCCCACCCCCGAGAAGCTCAGTCCGCCGTCGCTGCCACGAGGGCCATGTACTCCAGCGTCGAGGGCCGGTCCACAAACGAGTCGTTACGGTAAGACTTCGTCCTGTTTCCCGCTCCCTTTTCCTCTCGCGCGATCGGCTCATAGCCGAGGGGGGCGTGGCCTGGGGGCGTGGCTTAGCCTCTCCATGGGGGGAACAGACGGATAAAGTGGGAAGTGAGGAGGAGGAGGAAAGGATACTCCCCCCCCCACACACACACACCTCCTCTTTCCCTTTACCTTGTGGAAGAGGAAGTCAATTAGCTTATGAAACTCACTGCATGATGCACCACATGATGTGATGATGACTGTTTTCTCACTCTCCCTGGCTGTGAAGGCTTTGTTTATTCATTTATTACACTTGTATCACGCTTTTTCTGCAGTGAGGCCTAAGTAGTATCCGGGGCTTTTCTGTTTTGTTATCATCACAACAGCCTTATGAGGTAGGTCAGACAGGTCAGTTTCATGACTCTCAAGCCCGGGTCTGCTATTGGAACCGATACAGAAATTTCTAGAGGGGACGCGGTCCGTTTTTATATTTGTCTCCATCTCTAGTTATGAACTCTGGGATGATCTAAAACAGATCCTGCCCTTCCTCTGTCTGACAACCTTTCAAGTATTTCCAAAGCGCTGTCATATCTCCCCTCAGTCTTCTTTCCTCAAGGCTAAACATGCCCAGTTCTTTTAGTCTTTCCTCATAGGGCTTTGTTTCCTGTCCCATGTACCAGAAGAATGCATTTGTTGTTGTTGTTGCTTTTAGCATCTCTTGTGAACCTCAGCTCTTGCCTTCCTCTAGCACCATCCCTGCAATGCTTTGCTTACTTGTCTGTACTCTTCCCTTCCTTCCACTTCCTATATATATGCCTTTTTACATTTTCAGGTTATCTCTGAGCGTTTTGTGAAGCCACATTGGCCTTTTTGCTGTCTTCCACCTTTTTGACTGCTAGAAATGGAAGTTGTCTGACTCCTTGCTGAGAGTGAGCTAAAGCAAATGCCAGGGGCAGCTATTTCTCACAGGTGGCTAGGCTGGAGTTCAGCCTAAGCCAGGCCGTGAAACCTTCCAGCTCAACATTTCTCCCGGTGAACACAAGTGCTGTGTAGATCTGTCAGGTGGAACTTACCAAATAGAGAATTCTGGGACCTGGGATCTTAAAAAAATTAAAATGGATGACACATGCCTAATTTTCATTACCCTCTTTAATTGGAAAGCAACTGACTACAGGGAGAGGAGAATTTCTTCATCTGTGGAGTTTCTTTCCAAGTGAAGTTCTGATTTTCTAGAGTTCTAAACTCTTAGAGAGAGCCCCCAACAATAGAGGACACACTGTGCAGATGATTGGGGCAACTAGATTTGGGGTGGGGCAGCTAGAATGGCAAGAGAGGCATTTTAGTGGTGGAATCAAGGTACTTATCCCCCTCTTCCTCTGTAATATACAGTGGTGCCCCGCATAGAGATGATAATCCGTTCCAGAAAAATCGTCATATATGGGTTCGTCGCTATGTGGGGTAAAAAAGCCCATAGGAATGCATTAAAACCCGTTTAATGCGTTCCTATGGGCAAAAAACTCACTGTTATGCGAAAAATCTCCATACGGCTGCCATTTTTGCTGCCCGGTAAGCAAGGAATGGGCATGAAAACACAGCGGGCGGCCATTTTTTTACCCAGCGGCAATTTTGGAACCGCCGATCAGCTGTTCTAAAAACATCGCTATGCGAAAATCAGTAAGCGAAACAGCTTACCGATCATCGCAAAGTGATGTTTTACCATTAAAAACATCGCAATGCGATCGCTTTTGTGATCGCAAAAACGTAATCGCTATGCAAATTCATCGTTAAACGAGGCACCTGTTAAGCGAGGCACCACTGTATAGCTTGGCACATCAGCAAAACATCTGAAAAATATTGATGAGGCCTCATAATTTCTGGTAATGTCTTCTAATAATTGAAGACTGGAACAATTTCACTTCCTACCACTTTGAGCAGATTATGACATGAAAATAGAATCACAAACAAAAAAATCTGGATGAAGATGTGACACTTGTTAACTGATGTGTCAGCTTCTTCTTTCACCATTTATTAATATTCTCTTCCTCATCTGGTTAAAAAAAAGATTTCGGAAAGTTTAATTCTTTCATTATGTTTTGACCCAGGTGGTAAGTAATGAATTAAATAATATATTAATATAAGTAATATTTTCTAATTCATTTATTGTTCAGGTCAATAAGAATGCAAATAGTGTGGTTACCACATTGTTTCAAACAAGTATTAAACTTTTGTATCATGTAGGTACTTTATCCGGAACTATTGGCAGGCCCTACTGAAGTGGGGGTGGGGCGGGGCAGGCAGTAGGATTCTGGGATCTTCTGTAACCAAAGAGTGGAACTTTGGGGAAGGATTATGTTTTTTCTATTGTATGGAAAGTAAATACGCATTTTCACAAATGGTCTGAATATTCCCCATTTGCAGAGTAATAATAAATTAGAACTGCAAGCTTCTATATGCCAGTATGGGAGTTCAGTGGGACTTACTTTGAATTTTGGTTATTATTATTTGTTAATTATTTTATTACTTCTGTCTTCTTAGCATTACTTGTTACTGAAACACTGCATTCTAGTTATTCCTTAATATTTATTTTATTGTATTTTACAAATACGTAATGGCCAGAAATGCTAGCAGGCAAAGATCTTTCTTCTGTTTTTAGCTTTTAATATTGTGCATTTAATGATGTAAGCTTTCTTGGTCCTTTTTAGGAGTCAGATAGGGTAAAATATTTTAAATAAATAAAAATAAATAAAATAAAAGCCTCCCAAATTATCCTTACAAATAATAAAGTGGTGTCTCAACTTACGAATGCCCCTATCTATGAACATTTTGACTTACGAGCAGCTCTGCTTGCAAAATTTTGCTTTGACTTGCAAGTGGAGCTTCGACGTAAGAACAGAAAAGGGCAGGGGAAAAAGGTGGGAAATTTAAACCGTTGGTGGTAAAAAGTCTGCTTCTTTGTAGCTCTTTCGCCCCAATGGTTAGGAAAAGGTGGTCTGTCCTCCTGGGCTTCTACTGCTGCTGGCGCCTGGAGGTGAGCCGCCGGACCATCCCAGCCATGCTCAGCCTCCCGGGCTTCCACTGTGACCACCGCTGTCGGGAGGCCTCCCCGGCTTCCACCACCGCCACCCCAGCTGGCCGGAGCTCCTGGGTGTGCTCCGCTTCTCTCAGCTCCGGGGTGCCTAGGCTCCCAGTGCCCTACACACAAGAGTTCCCGGCGACCCCGGAAAATGGCTCTTGCTGCCATGGGATGGGGGCGGTGGGGAAGAGGGAAGGACGGGGCCTCGCTCCTGTCCCACTTGGCCGCCTGTGCGTCCCCGCGGGACTTCCTCCCTGGACAGGGGCCAGCCTCCCCCCCCCCCGGGATGGTGAGGTAATGGGCAGACTCCCGGAGGCCTCCTGGCGGTGGTCCTGGAAGCCTGGGAGGCCTCCCGGTGACAGCAGTTGTGGCAGCGGTGGTGGCCGGGCCGGGCAGTGGCGGTGGAGGTAAGGTGCTGCTTTTTGCTTTTTATTGTTTTGGGTGGCTTTTTCAGGGTGGGATTGGGCTGATGGGGTTATGTTTATGTTTATTTTTGGATTTGTGTTGTTTTTTGCAGCCCCAGGGGCTTGCAGTGTTTTATTTTTATTTTATTTTATTTTATTTTTTGAAATGCTGGAACAGATTAATCCCTTTCCCATGCATTTCAGTGGGAAATGGTGCTTCGACTTATGAGCATTTCCACTTATGAACAGCTTCTGGGACGGATTAAATTCGTAAGTCGAGGCACCACTGTATTTAAAGATTAATTACTAAATATTTATTTGCTAATCTAAAAGATTACTGACACTACAGTAATGTTATTTTTGGAAAAACAGCACCACTTTGCCCTTATTTCTGCAAATAATAATGTGTTGTGTTTCTCTGAAATATTATGTTAAACTAAGCTTTGTTCTTACTACTGGGAAGGTACAGTGGTGCCTCGACTTATGAAATTAATCCGTATTGGAACGGTGGCCGCAACTCAAAATTTTCGTAAGTCGAAACACCATTTCCTATAGGAATGCATTGAAAACCGATTAATCCGTTCCGGCCAAAGCAAAAAATACTAATAAAATAAAATACGGTACTGCAAAAACAGAACAGTTTTTAAAAAGCAAAAAGCAGCACCTTACCCTGCTGCCACTGCCAGGAGGCGAGCCGCTGAACCATGCCGGCTGGGCTCTGTCTCCCGTCCCCGCTGCCTCCGCCACTGCTGGATGCGAGCTGTCAGGCCATGCCAGCCAGGCTGTGCCTCCTGTCCCCGCTGCCCTCTGCCTCCCGTCCCCGCTGCCCTCTGTCCCCGCTGCCTCCGCCACTGCGGGAGGCGAGCTGTCAGGCCATGCCAGCTGGGCTCTGCCTCCCATCCCTGCTATCCTCTGCCTCCCATCCCTGCTGCCCTCTGCCTCCTGTCCCCGGTGCGGAGGTCAGGGTGGCTTTTGGTTTCCCGGGCTTCCAAAGCCTCCCCCGCTGCCCTCTTGCCTCCTATCCCCACTGGGATGGGAGGCAGAGGGCAGCAGGGACAGGAGGCAGAGAGCAGCGGGGGCAGCTTTGGAAGCCTGGGAAGCCGAAAGCCACCTTGTCCTCTTCGCCGGCACCCGGTACGGCGGTCGGGACGATGTTGGAAGCCCGGGAGGCTGAGTCTCTCTTTTCCTAACCGTTGGGGTGAAGAATCAGCCTCTTCGCCACCAACGGTTTGAATTTCCCACCCTTTTCCCCTGCCTGTTTCTTTTTGTAAGTGGAAGCTCCAGCCGCAAGTTGAAGCAAAATTTTGCGGCTGGAGCTTTTCGTAACTCGAAATTTTTGTAAGTCGAAGCCCCACTGTATAAAATTCTCTTACCGATGACTTGTGTTGTATTTTCTCATATTTCAACACACACATGCTAAAATACCCTGGATCAGGCTATGTCACCTTGCATGTTAGACGGTTATGCATGTAGATTTCAATTTATATTGAAGTACTGTACTGTATTTCTCATGGGTTCCTAGTCTAAT